TACGAAGTACAAATTGTTCGTGTATAAATTTTTTTTCTTAACAATTCAAAATTTTTATTGTAATACAAATTTTAATCAGTATATGATAGGAGTTAAATTACATTAGAAATTTAACCGATAAAAAACTAATAGATGAAAAGCATGAAAAGTTAGACAAAGCGAAAAAAAAATGAGAATAAAAAAATTTTTTTTCTCTCTTATTATTGATGATGGATGAATTATGTAATTATGTTAAAAGAATGGATCATATTAAATTAAATTAAATGATAATTTATCATTTTCTTGGAACTATATTTATTGCGTTTATTTTATTTTATTTTATTCATAATCATGACGTTTCAATGAAAAATACTTCCAGTTCGGATGCAATTTGCAATGTGGAATGGAAATTTTCCTTCTAATAACCAGTTTTACTGCCTCATTGCTTTATTTGATGCATACAAAGCCAAGCAAAATTTGATACACGAGAAGTGCATTTTAGCATTTTTTTTTCAAAAACAAAATGAGAGATTCATTTTTAAAAAAAAAAAAAATAAATTATGTGAGAAAATTTAAAAAGTGCTCTTCAAAAATTGCAATGAAGGGAAATAAAAAACCTACCTATTATGTGTTGTTTTCATGTGAACTAATTCTACGAAATTAGGGTCACTTAAGTTACTTGTTATCTGTAATCATTGTTATTTATAAATTCATTTATGTCAATTATTAATTTTCTTCCAATTATCCTTGTCATCGCTAATGATTTTTTATATGCCTGCAAACAAATGCAAAGCAGTAACAGATTTGTATTTCATTAAAAATTGCAGCAAACAATAAAAAAAACGATCAAATATTGATTGATAAAAAACCGAATGATATGATAATGAATGAAAAACAAATTAATATCAGAGATTATTTCAACCATATTTACACTCCCAATTTGCTCGGGGCGCACAATATGCGAATTCCAATTTGCCACCGTTCTTTCGTTCAATAACGCATGCTTTCAATTTTGCTTCGCAAAAGCAACCTTTATCGCTAAAATTTGTTGCTTCTTTTTAGTGCTATTAAGAAATGCGAAAATTTCAATACATATTTAAAATCAATTTTTATACAAAATTTAAATACACTTACGTCCATGATTGATTCTCATTTAGCATGCACCAATCTTGTGGTTCACGTTGATCATAGCAATTTCCATGATCAATGCATGGTTTCTTTCTGCAAAACAAATTCAAACGATAAATTAAAAGAAATTCATGCAGTAAATTTTGGGATTATTTTTGAAATTGAAAGATGTTCTTTTAAATTATTTTTGAATATGTGACAAACACAGCAATCAGATGCATGCACAGAATCTCATCACTTCAATGTATCTTCGAGAACGAACTCATATGCAACCCTAATGATAATACGGAAAAGCCAAGTGACTTACTGGCCATCAGTTTCAACAAATTCCCCTTTGGTTACGAAATCGTCTTGTGCACCATCATTATCACCTTTATCAGAGTTTTCATCTTTACCACTGTTATTGAAGTTTTTGTTATCATTACAGCCTTCATCACCATCTTCATTCTTGTCACCATCATCATAATCTTCACTATCGTCGCTTTCATCACTATCTTCATCTTTATCACCCTCATCATGGTTTTTATTATCGTCATTACCTCCATTATCATCTTCATCCGACTCACTGTAATCGTAATCTTCGCTATCATCATAGCCTTCATCACTATCTTTACCTTTATCACCGTCATTATAGTTTTCGTTATCATCATTGCCTTCATTATCATTTTCATTTGATTCACTGTAATCGTAATCTTTGCTATCATCATCGCCTTCATCACTATCTTTACCTTTATCACCGTCATTATAGTTTTCGTTATCATCATTGCCTTCATTATCATTTTCATTTGATTCACTGTAATCATAATCTTCGCTATCATCATCGCCTTCATCACTATCTTTACCTTTATCACCGTCATTATAGTTTTCGTTATCATCATTGCCTTCATTATCATTTTCATTTGATTCACTGTAATC